CTAAGTCATTGAAATGCATTTTCCTTGGTTACTCTCGTGTTCAAAAAGGGTATCGATGTTATTGTCCTGATCTCAATAGATATCTTGTCTCTCCTGACGTTACGTTCTTTGAAAATACTCCTTTTTCATCGTCCTTGAGTACCAGTCGAGGGAGAAGTCACAGGAAGATAATACCTTGTCTATTCTATTGTTTCTACTTCTACTTAAGAACTTCCTAGCAATACATCTCCCTCTGCGCCTGATCCTTCTCTCCCCACTATTACTCAAGTTTATTCTCGTCGGCAACCTCCTACGGACTCATGCCCTATACCAGCAGCTTCTTTGCCTGTGGATCCAGGAACGAGTGATGACCTTCCTATTACCCTTCGAAAAGGTAAGCGTAAGTGTACTTATCCTGTTTCTTCTTTTGTTTCATATAACCATTTATCATCATCTACTTGTTTGTTTATTGCATCCCTTGAATTTGTATCTATTCCTAAAACTGTTCATGAAGCTTTGTCTCATCCTTGTTGGCGGGCTGCTATGTTGGAGGAGATGACTGCCTTAGATGACAATGGTACTTGGGATTTAGTGTCTCTTCCTGCAAGAAAGAAACCTATCGGTTGTAAATGGGTGTTTGCTGTTAAAGTTCATCCGGATGGATCAATTGCCCGTTTGAAAACTCGCCTTGTTGCTAAAGGATATGCGCAGACTTACGGAATTGATTATTCTTATACTTTTTCTCCGGTTGCTAAATTGGCTTCTGTCAGGTTATTCATTTCATTGGCATCTATTCACCATTGGCCCTTACATCAGCTTGATATTAAAAATGCATTCCTCGATGGTGATCTTCAAGAAGAAGTTTATATAGAGCAACCACCAGGTTTTGTTGCTCAAGGGGAGAATGGAAAGGTATGTCGCCTTCGTAAATCCTTATATGGGTCGAAACAAAGTCCGCGAGCATGGTTTGGAAAATTTAGTCAGGTGATTGAGAATTTTGGAATGAAGAAGAGTAAGTCAGATCATTCTGTTTTTTATAAAAAATCTGAGTTTGGTGTTATCTTACTAGTTACTAGTTGTATATGTTGATGATATCGTGATTACTGGTAATGATTCATCAGGCATCCTATCACTCAAGTCTTTTCTTCATAGTCAATTTCATACTAAAGGTTTGGGACTGTTGAAATATTTCTTAGGAATTGAAGTAACAAGGAGCAAGAAGGGGATCTTTTTGTCACAAAGAAAGTATGTACTTGACTTGTTAACTGAAACAGGAAAGTTAGCTGCTAAGTCGCGTAGTACTCCAATGATACCTAATTTACAACTTACAAAGGAAGGGGAGTTGTTGAAAGATCCTGAGAAGTATAGGAAATTAGTAAGGAAGCTGAATTATCTTACGGTTACGAGGCCAGACATAGCTTATCCAGTCAGTATTATGAGTCAGTTTATGAGTTCTCCTACGACTGACCATTGGATCGCATTGGAACATATTCTATGTTATTTGAAAGGTGCTCTGGACGTGGCTTGTTATATAAAGATCATGGTCATCTTAATATTGAATGTTTTTCAGATGCTGATTGGGCAGGTTCTAAGGAAGATAGAAGATCAACCTCAGGATATT